TCCTAGCTAATTTGTCAGTTAAAGGAGTTAGAACAAAACAAGGATCTGCTTCCACAATACCTGGATGACTTATAATTTTTGAAATATAGAAACAGAATGAGTCAGAAGGGGCCTCCCGTGCCATTTAGTCTGACCCCCAGTTCGAGCCGGCTCCGCTCACGACATGACCACCATGTGCGTGTCCAGCCTATCTTTGAACACCCTCACCGATGGGGCTTCCACCACCTCCCGTGGAAGCGCATTCCACACCCTCGGGGTCCAGACTGTCAGAAAGTGCTTCCTAGCATTTAAATGGAACCTTGGTTTCCTGAGCTTTGCTCCGTTGCAGCGCATCCTGCCTTCCTCTGTCGGAGACAACAGGCCTTACCACCTCCTTTTGACAAAATTATGTTTTCTCATGAGATGGCCTCTGCTATTGAGACTGGGCCTCATGACAATGACGTAGCATTTGGGGAGAAAGATGCATCCCAGGAGATCAGCCCCAGAGGCCAAGATGGAGAAGACCTCCACGGCTTCTGCATACCTCCCCATGGTGCTCAGTTAGGTGGGCACAATGGAGACCCACTAGCTGCAGAAGATCAACTTGAGTCCACCCAAGCTAAACCCAACTGCTTCAGTGATTCCATCCAGCCACCTCATCCTCTGCCGTTCTTCTTTTGCCATTTATTGTGCCCAGCATCAGGCTCTTCTCCAGGGAGTCCGTCCTTCTCATTAGGTGGCCAAAGTATTTGAGTTTCATTTTCAGTATCTGGCATTCGAAAGAGTAAACAGGGTTGACCTTCTCTAAGAATTACTGAGTTGATGAGACAGGAGAGGGGGTCACACGGAGGAGGGTCATGAACTTTTTTTCGCTGTAGAGGAGGGCAGGACGTATTCCAATGGAGAAAAGCTCAGGGAACCCAGGTTCAATCTGGATGCAAGGAAGTACTTCCTGATGGTTAGGATCCCGAGGGTGTGGAATGGGCTTCTACGGACATGGTAGAGACCTCGTTGGTGAGGGTGTTCAAGCACTGGCAGGACATGAACAAAGTAGGCATATAATGAGCACTTCTGGCTGGACTCGGGGGTCCATCTCCATGACCTGGGAGGCCCCTCTGATTCACTCTGTTTCTCTGTTCCTATGGAACACCATAATTGGTGTGGATATATTTATGTTAGTCATGAAGCCGTGCCTGACCCACTGCAACCCAATGGACATCACTCCTTCAGGCCCTCCTATCCTCCACCATCTCCCGGAGTTCACTTCGGCTCACGCCAACAGCTTCCGTGTCTCCATCCAGCCACCTCCTCATCTGCCGTCCTACTTCTTTTGCCCACAATTGCTCCCAGCATTAGACTCTTCTCCAGGGAGTCCATCCTTCTCATTAGGTGGCCAAAGTATTTGAGTTTCATGTTCAGGATCTGGCCTTCTAGAGATCAGGCAGGGTTGATCTCCTCCAGGAATGACTGGTTTGGTTGCCTTGCAGTCCAAGGGATTCGCAGAAATCTCCTCCAGCACCACAAGTGAAAGGTCTCAATTCTTCAGCGCGCAACCTTCCTTATGGTCCAACTTTCACAGCCATGCATTTCAACTTTGTCTTCCACCCACGTTTTTGTCAGAATTTCTTGTCATTGTGCCTTTAGAATTTCCCTTTTTTGATTCCCACCCATCTCGGACTCCTTTCCCTAGTAGAGTCGCTTGCCAAGGGACTTTACTTATTACCGTTCTGCATGTATTTAAATCGCCTTTCCTGAAGTCCAGGGTGCATGTCCGGCTACACTTGATAATGCTTCCCTTTTAATCATGAGCTGGAATATGGCGTGGTCACTTCCCCCAGAGTTCCCATAGCGGCCACCTTGCCCCCTAGTCTTCCCTGCTGGTTAGTCTCAAGCCCTGGGGAGCCCCGCTTTTTGTAGGGCGGAGTTATGAGCAGCACTGCTTGGGACCCTCGTGGAGAGGCTGCTTGGCAGAAATTCTTTTGGGCAGATATCCGGGAAATCGAAGTGCCCCAAAAAGGGGACTTCACCCTCCTTGAAGTGCTGGTAATTGGCCAGACAAATGTCCCATTTCCACCTCCTCCTTCAACCGGGTCATCCCCAAGGCACTCCAGGGACTGTGTTGCTAGTATTCCCAGCTCCATTTATATTGCACTTGTAGTATTCTGAAAACATGGGAATTGGGGGTGGGGAGAGAGGGGCCTTTCTCTTCTGCTCCAACTTTGGGTGCTCAGCAGTTTCTGGTGCCCTCTCCCTCTACAAGGGCAGATCAAGCTCCCTCCCTTCACACCATTTCTCCACAGCCCCATGACTGCCCCATCAGCTTCATGGGAAGGCGCTGTTATGGGAGAGGGAGAAGAATGACTCCCCCCCCCATTCCCCACCCCTTGCTCTGCCCTGGGGGTCCCCCTCCTCTTCCCCATCCCTCTCCACTCTTCCTCTTCCCTCCCCACTCGCACTCCTCTCATGTCACATACCTCCCCCTCCTCTCCCCCAGTCCAGCCCGCGGTCACCATCTCCCCCACCAAGGACAACCCCCTCTCCCCCCGCACCCTGCTGCTCTGCACCGCGGCCAGCTTCTACCCCCGGGAGATCGAGGTCCGCTGGCTGAAGAACGGGCTATGGGCGACGGAGGGGGTCTTCTATGGGGAGGATCTGCACATCGGGGACTGGATGTACCAGACCCAGGTGATGCTGGAGGACACCCCCCAGCGTGGAGACGTCTACGCCTGCCAGGTGGCGCACGCCAGCCTGCAGACGCCCATCACCGTGCAGTGGGGTACGGCCCTCCTCCCCCTTCCCTCTGTGGGGCACTCCTGTGCACTAGGTGGGTCTGTGGGTGGATTGGGGGAAGGAAAGGAGGGGCCTAAGGTGTGTTGGGAAGGGTGGCCTCGTTAGAGGGAGATTGGGATGTGGCTGAATGTCTCCCCCTGGGAAGGGATGTTGTCAGCCCCACCTCCCCCTTTTTGTTCCCTCTGGAGCTGCGTCCAGCCCCACACTTACCTCCTCACAGTACTCCTGTCTGGGGCTGCCCTGCCCATGAGGGACTGAAGCGCAGCCATGCAGACCTCACAGACAGAACCAGTGCCCTAGATATCAGCTGTGGGCCCGGAAAATCCCCATCCCAATCTGCTGCGCATGGACTTTGCCCCTGGTAAGTCCCTGGGGATGAAAGACTGAGCCTGGCCCTGATCCTGCTCCCACGTGAGACCCAACTCTCTCCAGAGCCACGGACTTCCGAGTCGGCCAGGAGCAAAGTGTGGATGGGGGTCGTGGGGTCCCTGCTGGGTGTGGTCTACCGGGCCTTGGGGCTCTCCCTCTACCTGAGGAGCAAGAAAGGTACGGGGGCCCTGAAGGGCACCTTGGTGGGCAGGCCCTGGGAACGAGATGCATGTCCAGCCCCCTCAGAGCTGCTGCTTGGATTCAGTTTGGATCCTATCTGTGAAGGTGGAGGGACTCTTCACTCCAGAAGTTGGGCCCTCCCCACATCTGAAGCAGGATCCTGGGGGCATCGAGGACACAGGAGGGGGGTCTCCAGCTGCACTGCCCTCCTGTCTCCCCGAAGAGCAGGAGTCCATCGAGAGCGAATTGGCTAGAAATCCCCCCTCCAAATCAGTGGCCGTCTCAGTACAGCAGCTTTCCTGGGAAGGCAGTTTCTGTTTTGCACAAATATGGGATTTGGACTGAGCCAAGGAAAGACTATGGCAGCTTTTTGGTTTCAGGAGCCTTTCTGGGTGCAGGAGGGGAGGGTGTCCCTGCGGTGCTGAGGAATGAGCTCCTCCGGCCATGCACTAAAGTCTCTTTCATCTTCTCTCTCTGTCTCCAGCATCTGCCATCCAGCAGCCTCCAGGTAAAGCCTCTCCCTGCCTCCTTCCCAGTCACTGGTCCACTTTTCCATCCTGCCTTTCCCCAGATGCTTGTACAGAGTGGGGGTGCAAGTCTGAAGGCCCCCCCCCCCGATAAATTGGGGCACTTTTTGCAGAGATATTTCATTTTCAGGGTTGGGCTGCCATCGGGGGAAAAGAGTCTGAAATGGAAACACAATGGCCAGTGACAGAGCTTTTTTGCAGTGCTCAGACACAGGAGAGAAGGGCAGCCAGACGTTTCCCCAGCAGGGACTGGCCTTCTCCGCCCTTCTTGCTTCTGCTCTTCTCCTGTCGCACCCCCCAAATTGAGCCCTCAATGCACAGGCTGAGACCTTCAGAGATATTCTTTGTGGGCCTCCCTTAGGGTCTGTCTGTGGAAATGGGGTGGCTTTGGGGGGCAGGAGAAGATCACAGCGTTGGGGTTTGAGTGGGCAGCTTCCGCTCCACTTTGGCAGTAGCCCCCTAGCTGGAGGGCAAGCCGTCGTGGGGGGCCATCAGCATGGGTTGGGGGTGTTCTTGTGGGGCTGCAAGTGGAGGGGCCTGTGTGTAGGAGCCCCTGAAGGAGTCAGCAGCCCCCACCCTCTTTCCCTCGGGCCCTTTCCCATCCTGGGTTTTCATTTTCCCATTTCCATTCCCCCCTGCAATTTCCCTGTCTTCTTTCACACCCTTTCTCCTCAGTGCTCATCGGCTAGTCCTCCAAGACGCAGGCAAACCGGAAGACACCCTAATACTTCCTGCTGGAGCTCAGCTTTTCTGTGCTGTCCTTGGGAGACGCGAAGGGGCTGGAAGCTGCAGATCGGCAAGAGGAGGAGAAGCGCAGCTGAAGACGCTCCTGCAAGGACCAGCTGGACATTCCCTGATTTTCTGCCTGCTTTTGCTTCTTTGGGCAGGGGGTGATGGATGGGACTCATTCTGCCAGGCACCCAGAACACGATTGCCTATATTCCGTGGACTTTGGCTCAAGGGCCAGACTTATTGGCTCGGTTGGGCCTCATCCTGAGGAGTCCCAGGTTAGTGATTAAGGGCCAAGAGAGGCCACATTCCCTCCTCACCTGCACAGCTGCCCCCCCTTATGGGGACAGCAATGGGTCTGTCCCGGCCAGCTTCCACTTTCCCCAGAGCAGCTGCAATTCTGGGGCTTGGAATTCTGAACGCTTCACTCACACTTGCAGGCTGGCTTTGCTTTCAGTCAGTGGAGGAATAATAAATCCCCTTCTTGCTGGAATGGTGAAAAATCTGAAAATGTGGTTTGATGACATGAAAACAAGAACGATATTCTGTTTGGAGGAGGGCTGTACCACAGTGGTAGATCCCCCTTTCGCATACTGCACGTCCTGGGTTCTAACCCTGGCAGCCTCTTTGGTCCTGCCCGGCAAGTCTGAACCAGCACAGAGGCTGCTGGTCCGTGCTGGAGGTGGGTGGATGGAGTCAGGTCTGGCGCTGTGCGATGGCTGCTCTCTGTGTCCTTTGCAGCTTTGCCCCATGGGTCCTCCCCCCACTGCATCTGGGGGCCCATATATCCTTTTGGAGAAATGGGGTGGCCTAAGTAATGGTGTGGGAAGTGCATCCCTTCCTGGAGAGTATGAAGCTGTGAGGACTGCCATTGCCCCATGCTTTCTTTTCATCTGAGCCCTGGAGTGGGGTTCCCCTTGGGAGGGCAATGGGGCTGCAGAGGTCATCAAGCCTGCCCCAAGTAATCTTCACCCCCTACACAAGACCAAAGGGGGAGATGCTGATCAGCAGGGGCAAAACATGTCACTCAAATGTCCCCTTTATTGCAGGGGGTACCAGAGCCGAGCTCTGGCAGGGACATCGTGCTGGCTTGTCCCCCCTTGGGGCCGTTGCCAGAGTCCCCCCAACTCCCTCGGGTGGTGTGGGGTCCAAGAATGCACCTTGGGCCAGTGGGACGGACATGCCACATCCCATGGGCACTCAGGTCAGAGTTCCAGGACTGGCAGTGGCTCCCCTGGAAGCATTTCCTTCCTTCCAAACTCTGATTTTTTGCTGTGTGGCACATGAGTGGCCCCTGGTGGTGCCAGAAGGGGATCATGTGGTCCGGGCAACACGCAACTCCCCCTTGAAGGCATCAAAACTCAGGGTGCGGAGCGTGTGTGCCCCTCTGTCCAAGTTCAAATCAGGAGGCTTGACGCTCAGGAGCCCTGGCCCAGCTTGGCTTTGGGCCGCCATTCTCTGGCAGCGGGAAGCTCATGCGGAGGCTGGATCCGTCCTTGGCAGTCTACCATCGCCAGCAAAGGAGCAGGCGGGAGGCAAGGTGGTGGCTGCAGGTGCCTTGGGTGACCGGACACGGGGCATGGGACAGGGCTGCCAATGGGGAGGGCAGGGGGCACCAAGCCTTCCTTTTCCCCGGGGGACCGGATCTGCTTTGCCCTGTGTTTGTTTGTCCCAAAGGGGCTGCAGCCCTTCAGTATGGACCCTTGCACCAATTAAAGCACCACATGTGAAATGCAAAATGGGAGTAAAAGCGTTTCCACCCTGAGCAGGGGCAGGAAAGGGCAGGTGGTCAGGGGCTTTGTCAAAGATGCTGCAGGAAAGCCTGGAAGGGCACGCAAGAGAGTCTGCTCACGTTTTTCCTGCCTTCCTGAACCTGCAGTCTCTTCTTCCGTGTCCTGCCGGCCTTCATCTCTTGCACCTTCTCTCCTCCAGGCTAAGCATGCCTGGCTCTGCCTGTCCTTCCTTGCAGGGCTCCATTGCAAGCTCCGGATCTTCCTTGGTGCCCCTCCTGCCCCTGCCCAGCTCGTCTGCATCCCTCATCAACTCTGGTGTCCAAAGCAGGCCGCAGAGCCCCAGGTGAGGCCTCCCCAGTGCTGGTGGCACGCATCCCATGAGCCACTACAGCTGAAGTTCACTCCCAGGGTGCACTGCTCCTGCCTCCCTTGACAGCCTCTTTCTGATTGGACAGCATATAGAGGCTGCATGAATGGAGAGGCTCCTGCAATTGCAGCTCCTTCTACCGGAATCCATGGCAGCCCCACGAAAAGCATGTTTCCTGGTTCAGGTGACCGTTGCAGCCCTGGCGAAGCCTGGAGGCCAAACCACACGCCCTCCCTCCTCCCCGGTTCCTGGGAAAGCGACCATCCTGAGTGGCAGGCCGAGGCCCCGGATCAGCCCCTCAAGAGCCCATCCTGTGGCGGGACCTCCGTGGCTTCCCTTGTGTGTGAACCCGGCCCCAGAGTCCGGCCCCCTTGGTGAAAGAGGGTCTGGATCCATCCCAGGAAGACCCACTGAGGAGGCAGCCTGGGGAGCAGCCCCACAGGAGGAGGAGTCAACTAAGGTAGAGGAGACACGGACCCCCCGGCCAGCCGTCAATCCCCCAAAGGTCCCACTGCCAGGTCATGGGGTGCTGGACGTGTCAGATCTTAATTCTTCAACCAAAAGTCTGGCTGGGCCCCTCCCATTCTCAAAAGGACAGAAGAGCTTTGGGGGGGGGAGCAGGAGTGCTCCGGAGGCTGACAGAGGCTGCCCAGGCCCCAAGGAGGGCACCCTCCTCTCCCACAACCCTGCAGCACTTCCCCTGCTGCCTTGTGCAGCCAAAACCCTCCTTTGCGGGAGGAGAGGGGCTTGTGCCCGGAGAGGGACGATGCCGCAGAGGCGAATTCTTTCCTGTCATTTCTGTAAGCCTCCTCCCCTCCCCTCCCCTCCCCTCCCCTCCCCTCCCCTCCTCTCCAGGGCTAAAGAGGTGGCCCCAAAGCTTCCCTTTTGGGGTTGAAACTGCCTTCTTCTTCCTCCGCTTGTGGGGCCACAGCAGCCTTGGGTCCTGTGTGGATTCCCCCATCGACACTTCTGCTTGGTCTGCCCCTGGTCCCCAGAGTGGGAGGGAGGCAGTAGCCCCCAGGTGAGGAGGGGGATGGGGGAGGGTGGAAGAGAAGAGAAGAGAGGCCAGGGAAGTGGGACCCCCTTTCTGTCCCTCCTCCCAGTGGACCGGGAGGGATTCAGCAGGCAGCCAAGGCTCAGGGTGGGTGCAGGGGAAGGGCCTGGACACCTTGGGACCCTCACCCATGCAGCACCCACCCTCTGGAGAGGATGCCGGGGCTCAAGCCAGTTCATCTGCCGAGGGCCGTAACGAAATCCATCTCCGTGCGAAATCCGAGCATGCCCCCGCTGACTGGTAACTTGAGACGTACTGGCAGGCCACGGGCGTGGGCTCGGGCCATGCACAGTGTCCCAGCTTCACAAGGCAAGCAGAACCATGTTGCCCCCTGCCTGGGCACTGGCTGAGGAGTCAGGCTTCCCGCCAGGGGGCCCTGTGTCTCTGGCAGAAGAGGGCAGGGCAGGGCAGGAGGGATGCGGGATCCACTGGGCAGCCAGGCAGGGCTGAAGTCCAGGCATCGGGGCAACAGAGAGAAAAGGTCAGTGGCTGCAGGCCCTTGGCAGCACCAACGGGGCTTCATGCTCATCACATGAAATCCTGTTGAGTTGACGGGAGAAGCCCTGGCAAAACACAGAATCCGCAGCACACGCCCTCGTTCCTCCCTCATTTCCTGGGAAAGGGAACGCGAAGAGAAGTAAGACGAGGCCACAGATCAGCCAGCTCAGGAGCCCTTCCTGTGGCAGGAACAGCCGTGGCTTCCCTTTCTGTGTTATCCCGGCCCCATGGTCCGGCCCTCTTGGTGAAAGAGGGTCTGGATCCATCCCAAATGTGTCAGGTCCCTGGAAGACACCCCGGAGCTGAGATGGGGACACGGACCCAAAGACCCCTTCCAGGTCATGGGGTCCCACACCTGACCTTTTCGATCAACAGGCTGACGGTGGCCCCTCCCTGCCCAAAAGGGTCTCCAGCTCCCCCCTCCACAACTTGCATCCTAGCCAGCCTGGCAAGAGGGGGAACTTGGGGGGGGGGCTTAATTCATCCACCCCGTAAAAACGGAGGCTGCGCTGTCTCCTTCGCAGCCAAAACCAATCTCCTTCGTAGGGACACTCATGGGCTCCCTCTGCCCGGAGACTGATGATGCTGCAACTGGGAAAATTCTCATTGGTGCTTTTCGGCACCCTCCAATGGACTTTTCCCCCTTCCCCCCCTTTATAGAAGAAAAAGTTTCACTTCTGGGGTGAGGCAGCATTTCCCCTCGTCCACTTGTGGGGCAGCAGCAGCCATGGGCACTGGCTGGATCCTTCCAGTGATGCTGGTGCTTCTGCTGGGGCCACCCCTGGTCCCCGGAGGGGGAGGGAGGCAGGGGCCCTCAGGTGAGGAGGGGGCTGCTTGGAGGGGGAGGGAGGGAGGGACCCTCTCTGTCCTCCCCGAAAATATGGGCTGTCTGGGTGTCTCTGACCTCTGGTGACCCCTGAACTAAGCCCCCAGGATGGCCTGTCCGTGGCAGCCCTGAATTCCAGGCTGCGGCGCCTTTCGCGGCGTCCCTGCGCCTCTCCCTTGTCGTCCTCGCCTCCTTCTGCTTCCCCTCCTTTGCCCTGAGGATGAAACTGTGGGTCCCTGGTGGGGGGAAAGTGGCAAGAGAGCTTTGGGGAGGGGGGAGGACTCGGTGGAAAGCAGAGGTGGGACCCCCCCATTCCATCCTTGCTCAGGGACTTGGTGAGGTGGCCTCCCACCAGGGCGTGGGGTCCTTTGGCAGGAGCTGAATTCGCTGCTCCCCGGATGCTTTGGAGGGAAGGAACGGATGCGGGGGGGAGAGCTTTTGGGTGCTTGATACTCTCTGCAGCTGCAGTGTAGGCGGAGGTTCAACAGGGCAAGTGTCCCTCCTCCAGTGCTAGACAAGCTGCTCCTGCTGAAGGGGGACGAGCCCCCCCCCCCGGAGAAGCCAGTGGATGCAGAGATGGGGGGGTGAGAGTGGGGAGAAGCTGCCCCTGCCCTTCTTCCCCTGCAGCCCCTCTGGAGGAATCTTTGCTCCATGCTCACATCCTCCAAAAGGCCATTGGCAAGAACTCTTCCAACTTCCCTGATGTCAGGCAGAAGTTCAACTGGGATGCAAGATATTCAGCAGTGAGGGGGAATCTTGACCTGTTGAATGTCTGCATGGCAGAACATGGTGGGAGTTACAGGCCAAGAGATTCAGAGGAAAGCCCATTGGGAAGGGTGGCGGAATGGCATGAAGAGAAGAACAAAGATGTTGGCTCAGCAGGGGGCGGAGGGGAGAGTTAATTGAGACATGGAGCCCAGGTCTCCTAAACTGGGAAACCAACAAGCAGTGCATGAGAGCAACAGCACCCATGTTCCCTGGCAGCTGGCGCTCCTGGAGCAGTGGGGGATAGCATGGAGCCATGAGGACTAGCAGCTTGGGATAGCCTTCTGCTACTGCAAGAATTTGTCCAACCCCCTTTCCATGCCTCCTGTGCCTCTTGGGGAGGTGAATCCCTCAGGTTATCTCCCTCCTTTCATCTGTCCTGAATCTCCGATCAGCTTCGTGGGCTGCCCTTTTGGGGAGGCTATGTGCTGCAGTGGTTACAGCGCCAGGCTGGGATTCTCGCGAACCAGGTTCCCATTCTTTCTTGAGCACAGAGTTCCTTGGGTGACTCAGGGCCAGCCGCTGCCCCTCCTGTTCGGGGCAGACTGCAGGGGGAGGCTGTGCATGGTGGACGGGGTCCCGTGGCTGCTGGAGCTGGTGCTGCCCTCCGAGTGGCAGCGGGTCCAGGGAGGTGGGCACAGACGCCGTCCTGCAGGGCGGTTGGCCCTCTGTGCTGCTCGTTAACGGGGCCCGGCAGGGTCCCTCCTCCCCCCACAGCCCCGCGCCGGTTCCTGCACCAGGATAAGTCCGAGTGCCGCTTCTCCAACGTGACGGGGCGGGAGCAGGTGCGCTTCCTGTACAGGTTCATCTACGACCGGGCAGAGATTGCGCGCTACGACAGCGCCCGGGGCCGGTATGATGCCCTTACACCGCTGGGGGAGCCTGACGTGCAGCTCTGGAACAGCCAGAAGGAGGAGCTGGAGTTCTGGCAGAACAAGGTGGACACCTTCTGCCGGTACAACTATGGCGTGGCTGCGGCCGGGAGCATAGTGGGCAGGAGAGGTGAGTGCCTTAGGGGGTGGGGACCCTTCCCCCTAATCCTGCCTCAACTCTCCCCCAGGCTGCCGCCATGCTGGAATCCTGGGCACCTTGGCACACGGGCGGCGTGGTGAGTGGGTCCTGGAGGAGCACGGCCCCCCCATTTCCCCCTCCGCGCCGTGCGTGTCCCCCCGGCAGGTGGATTTTGGGGACCTAAAAGGGGCATGCAGGATATTGGTGGGGCTGGAGGATCTTTGATCTCGCCCCCTTTCTGGACGAATTCTCTGAAAGGAAGCAGGATCCCTTGAAATCCTCTGTCTGGAAAATGCTGGACAAGAGAGTCAAGAAGCGAGCCCCCTGCGACCCCTGGTTCTGGGACCCTCCAAGGGCTCCGCTGATTTCTCCAAGTCCAGCAGCCTGACCCATCTGACGAGGGTGCAGAGTATTTTATTAAATTTGGGTCTGCCCGTCCCCTTCATTATTCTCAGCTATCAACTTTTCCATTTTGCGGGCAAATTTTTATTAACATAACACCTGAATTCAAAGGAATATTTGGAAACAACAGGAAGCATTTTGGTGATATATGGACATAGGATTTCAAGCATGCCTCACATACATAAATTGAACCTGCACCATCTCCATATTTGTCACTTTATACAATTTAATGTAGCCTTAGAATTTCTATAACGTAACGAAGTCAAAATTAGACTTCCTTTGAATATCTTTTTATCCTTCTAGGGAACTATGCATACACAATGATTGATAGTTTTCATAATTAATTTTCATCTCTGTAACCCTTGAATGTTTCAAATAATTGTTTTAGATGCTCTAATGTCCTAATTGGGTTTCTAAGACAGAGAAGCCCATCTGCATAAAAATTACTGTTCTGTCGCTTGGGGTTTATTCCTATTAGCCTTTCCTCTGAGTGCAGCTGCCAGTGGTTCTATGGGAAAGTCGAATATCAATGGTGAGAACTAATTGCCTTTCCCGAACTTTTCAGAATCGATACCATTAATCCTTACTACTGAATACACACCTCCATCTAATTTTTTGTGTGAGTGTGTTAAGCATCTTGCTTAAATCAACTTTGTTAATTTAAATATGTATTTCTATTCCATATGATCGGTCACTTTAGGTCATCAAGAAAGAGAATCTCCATCTTAAATTTACTCAGTTTTGACTCATTCGAAATAATTAACTCTCCATGTTATGGCATCTGAGATAGGCCTCCCTGCCATAAGCCCTTATTGATATTTACTTATCTATCTCCTTATTTTATTCATTCATTTATTTATTTTTGGATTAGTATCCTGCCTTTTTCCTACAAAGGGCAAGGAGGCTTACATCCTCCTCCTCCTCCATCTTATCCCCTCAACAACAACCCTGTGAGGTAGGTTGGGCTGAGAGTCTGTGACTGGCCCAGAGTCACCCTGTTGGCTCCATGGCTGAGAGGGGACTCTATCCCTGATCACCTGAGTCCCAGTCCCACGCTTTTCACCACTACACTACACTGGCTGTCAATACTAGTTAAGTAATCTGTTATTAATACTAAGCTGTTACAAAACCATGAAAATATCCAATACATTATAAAAGTGAAAGGAAATACCGCAATATACAGACACCACCCCCATATACAACTCGTGCATCCTGTCACCGGGACCGTAGCTCTACAGGTTTTATACCTTCATTTCATTCCGCTTTACTTCTAGCTTTCACTCTATGCCCTTTCAGGAATATTCCCTTGCATCCAAAACTGCATTTATTGAATCAACTGTAGGCTTAATCCTTTTCCATTTTATTAGTGCGCATTGTTTTATTACTTTCATGCCATCCCCCAAAACAGCCGAGGGAAGGCCCTCAAGACGGGCCCAGCTCCTGGCTCTCTCTGCTCATGTCGTTCCAGATGAACAGGGCAAGGGCAAGGGCCAGGAGGCATCTGTCGACACCCCCAAGGTCAAATTCGGAGACGATGCTGTGCTCAGCCTGGCCCTCAGTCCCTGCTGAGTACCACCAGATGATTCCCGGTGCCTGCTCAAACACACACGTGAAAGAGTCCTCCAGCAGAGGCGCAGAGAAGCTCCTTTCTGCCCAGTTGGCAGCATCCAAGTTAAATCCATTTTGCAAATTAGTGAGGTGAGACCCTTTGGAAAAGTGGACACTCGGACCCAGTGCTCAAGGACAGAGGACATGCCCCAGCCTCACGGTCGGTCTGGCAAGGCTCCCATTTTTCCTTCCACTGGAGACATCCCTGGTGGCTTCCAGGAGCGCCCCAGAAATGTTGATTGTGCATGTTCTCAAACAGGGGAAGGGCCCCAGTTGAGAGCCATGCAATGACGGAGCTGACACTTCGGCATGGGGTGTTTGAAGGGCTAAATGGACCAAGCGCCCGCCGTTCCGTCCCATGAATTGTGCTACTGCTGGAGAGCTCCTCCGGGCATTTAAAGCCTCGAATTCTCCACAGACCTTCCTGGAGCCATTTGTGTGAAAAGCAGAACCAAAATATTTGAATGCGGAAACCTTCTCAACATTACACTAGCTTATCATCCCTAAGTGGACTGTTGCTCTTTCTGCAAAGTCCCTGAATTTTCTTTTTCACAGTTCAGTCTGAGGTCTCCTTGCTCGCAGGAGGTGCTCGCCTTCCACAAGGCTCTTCTGGGCCCAGTCTGAGTCCTTGAGGTCAGAGCTGCATCCTCTGGATATACTAAAATAGGTCTGTGCAACTTGCAATTTGTGCACAGAAAATTGAGTTTTGCACAAGGTGAAAATTGATGTGGTTTAACTCCTCTACCACTGAACTGATGCAGAAGTTAAAGGTAAGCGGGGCCAGGATGCGGCTTCATTCGCCCCCTGCTTGCATTGGAGCAGCGCTCGGAAGACAGCCTTGGGCAGTGTGTCTTGCCAGAAGGGAAGTGTCTCCGCTCAGGCCTGAGCGAGTTGGAGCAGGCGCAGGTCAGCGGTGGAGCCTCCACCTTCTTCTGCAGTTTAACGCTCCTTGTGGAATCAAAGCTGCCTCGAGATCTGCAAAGGCCACACAGGGCAAAGAAGTTTTGTATGAGAAGTATTTTTCCAAGAGAGATTGTAGGACTACATAGTTATCGGTGGAAGAGGGCCCTCCCTGAAACCTGCCTGTGTGGAAGAATTTGGAAACGTTTTTACCGCATTGCTTTCGGGGAGTTTGCAGCCTGTCCGCTTTAGGACCTGCTCCAGAATTCCCCACAGAATGACTTGGACTGACTGGGCTGAATTCCGCAGGCTCATCTCCTTTCCTCTCTTGAAGATCAGGATGTTGTTCCCCAGTGCCCAGGCCCTTCCTCTCCTCCATGATTCCACCTTCCTTCCGGTTCCTGTGCACGTCCCTTTTTGTTTTCAGAAAATGCTTAAGCCCATGGGGGCTTCTTCATTTGTCTTCTTTTGCTGTTGCAAGTCTTGAGGTCGTGTCAGACGCAGCGCAACCCCATGGACAACACTCCTCCAGGCCTTCCTGTCCTCCACCATCCCCGGACTCCACCCAAGCTCACCCCAACTGCTTCAGTGACTCCATCCAGACACCTCCTCCTCTGCTGTCCCCTTCTTTCGCCATCAATTGTTCCCAGCATCAGGCTCTTCTCCAGGGAGTCCGTCCTTCTCATTAGGTGGCCAAAGTATTTGAGTTTCATCTTCAGCATCTGGCCTTCTAGAGAGCAGTCAGGGTTGATCTCCTCCAGGACTGACTTCTTTGATCGCCATGCGGCCCAAGGGAATTGCCGGAGTCTCTGCCAGCACCACAATTCAAAAGACTCAGTACTTCGGCGCTCAGCCTTCCTTATGGTCCAACTTTCAACGCCATACATTGAAACTTTTGTCTTCCACGCACTTTTTTTTCAGAATTGCTTGTGATTGTGCCTTTCGAATTTCCTTTTCTGTTTCCCACCCATCTCGGACTCCTTTCCCCAGTAGAGTCACCTGCCGTGGGAAGTCACTTATCACCATTCTGTGTGTATTTAAATCGCCTTTCCTGAAGTCCAGGGTGCGTGTCCAGCTTCACTTGACAATGCTTCCCTTTTAATCATGGGCTGGAATATGGCGCAGTCACTTCCCCCAGAGTTCCCATAGCAGCCACTTTGCCCACTAGTCTTCCCTACTGGTTAGTCTCAAGCCCCGGAGAGCCCCCTTTCTGGAGGGCAGAGTGATGAGCAGCACTGCTTGGGACCCTCGTGAGGGGCTGCTTGGCAGAAATTCTTTTGGGCAGATATCCGGGTAATCGCAGTGCCCCAAAAAGAGGACATCACCCTTCCTTGCAGTGCTGGGAATTGGCCAGCCAAAAGTCCCACCTCCACCTCCTCCTCAACCAGGTCATCCGCAAGGCACTCCAGGGACTGTGTTGCTAGTATTCCCAGCTCCATTTATATTGCACTTGCATTAATCTGAAAACATGGGAATTGGGGATGGGGAGAGAGGGGCCTTTCTCTTCTGCTCCCGCTTTGGGTGCCCAGCAGTTTCTGGTGCCCCCTCCTTCTACAAGGGCAGATCAAGCCCCCTCACTTCACACCAGCTCCCCACAGCCCCACAACTGCCCCCATCAGCTTCATGGGAAGACCCTGTTGTGGGAGAGGGAGAAGAATGACTCCCCGCCCCATTCCCCACCCCTTGCTCTGCCCCGAGGGTCCCCCTCCTCTTCCCCATCCCTCTCCACTCTTCCTCTTCCCTCTGGTCTCGCACTCCTGTCATATCTCACACC